TTAAATACAGCGCCAGGCCGGCCAGGGCTGCTGTTCTAGCTGCAGTGATGTTTTTGTCCTGTTCCACAAACAAAAAGGTATGCACAGGGGGGTGTTAGGGTCTGCTCCTCACATTCAACAGCAATGTAATGCATTAAAAATATTCTTACCTGTTCCTCATATGCCATCAAAACATCTTCCATCTTCTCGACAAAACTTCCAGTCTTCCTCTTCTTGTAGAGTTTTAGCATCTGAGGTGTATATTTTTCAAGTGCAGCAAAATTGTAGGTTTTGATTGGTGATTCTGTGGAATTCACTGTAGAGCTGCATGGGGAAAAAAAGCACAGGACATTTTCAGACAACTAGACATTAGGGCTGCAACGATTCCTCGAGTACCTCGAGTAACTCGATTACAAAGAATGATCGAGGAATTTCGTCTGCCTCGAAGCCTCGTAAAGCTCACGTTTTGCACGGATTCTTTTTAGTGTGACACAACGTGCTTACGTCACAGGCTATGCGTCCCCAACAACGCGGAAGAAGACGGAAGCGGGCTCTGTAATGTGTGTGGACAGGTTTGCTGTACAGAACGGCAGACGCTGGGACTGAAAACTGAAAACAGTGATCTGTCTTGTTTTCTATTGTATATTTATAATCGGGCTTTAATTAAGCAAAAGTATGTTTTATCCAATTACTCGATGGAATATTCTATAGAATACTCGATTACCAAAATATTCGATAGCTGCAGCCCTACTAGACATACCATATTAAAACTCTTTTCCAGATAAAGGATTGCTACAATGATGACTTTGACAATGTGTGGGTGTTACCATCATTTCAAGTGACCTTTTCAAGATTGTACTCACTTGAGCTTCACAAAAGAGTGCAGGCCATCTCTCTTTTAGTTCGGCGATGGGAGGAGCTGAATTAACAATTTCTTCACGCCTGAGTGCAAAGGTGCGCTGCATATGTTGATGGATGAGAATCATGTCCCTTTCCATCGATGTCTTCTGAACTGCTCCCCCATCTCAATCCTCTGGGTCTCCAATGTGTCCTTAGTTTCTCCACAGGGATAATTGGGAAGGAAGTTCACTTCCCCTCTTTTGGGTCTTTTGATTTTGATCCTTGCTGCTGCACCCTCTGGATTGGTTTTGCTGCGCTTTCCTGCATTCACAGCTACATCCTTTATGCCAGCCCTGCTCAGTTTGGTCCTGTAGTTGCCCATCTTGAAGCGCTGTCTGTTCTTCCAACCCTCATACCCGGTTTTAGATCTGTTTGCTCACCAGAGCCTCAGCAGCCTTACTAATCTGTATGGTGCTAGGATAAGCTTTATGCTTATATATTTTACCAGCCATTGCATCTAGTATATTGTGTTTTTGATCCCTGGTCAACCTGACAGTTTTTTACCATTTTTAGAGTTTCCCTCTCTTAGAGGATACTCCACCTCGTAGGAGAATGTTGGAACAACAAAGATCTCAGGCCATTGGCAAAGACGCTCTGGTGAATCAGTGTTATCAGACATCAACACTGTGTCATCTGTGCTGGTCGATCTCAGATCTGACTCAACAAATCTTAATACCTAATACTATACTATCTAAAACTATCTTAATTGCTGCCTTGGATGGTAGGTCTGGGTCTTGAAACTGAAGTCGAAAGTCATAGGCCAGATTCAACTTATTTCTCACCTCAAATATGAGGGCATTTACAGTCTCAGGACGAGAGGGTAAAATAAGCCTCTCTGCATTGACATCAGTTGTTTCCATTTACACAGTATTAGGGAGACCTGTAACATAAAACACAAGGAGCTGTGAAGGATTTTGTTGAGTTAGGTGACATGACTGATACCACTCTGATGTCTGTACAGTAAATACAAAGCTACGGGCAGCAGCTTGTTAGCTTAAAGCTAGACATTACCTTTTGAAATACGTTGTTCAGTGTCCAGTAAGGTAATAATCAGTGTTCAGTGAATTAAAAGTACTAAATGTACATATGCAGCTGTTATACAGGCAAGGTAAAGGTGAAACTGTGGAATACTGACCATGGTAGAGTCTGTAATGTCTTAATAACTACACTTTAAAGGCACTAGAAAAAACAAACAGTTTGCATTTCCACATGATTTATACCTGTCAAAGTGCAGTAAAGTAAAATTAAGTTTGTCAAAGGCAGTAAGCTCGTTTTTTTTGTTTCTGTACATGGCTTTATTATTACTCCTTCTCTTGTCAGCTTCACTTTTTAATCCCTGAGACCTTACATGTAAATGTGAATTAGCTAAAATATTTTCATGGTTATTCTCTCTCTAACATGGTGTTCAGTCGGCTGTTCCCTCAAAATTAATACAAAATACAATAATCTAAGATAATAAAGTTTAAGTCAGCAACAATTACTTAATTGTGTTAAAAACAGTACAACGCCCCCCTCCAAAAGAAAAATGTGTGAAACCCCAAATTATTCCAATTACCTATTCAAAAAATCAACAAATCTTTAGGCTACATTAGACAATCTGGAAACATGAACTGATCGTAATTTTTATTTGAAAATGTTAGACAATAAATCAATTATTTCAGTGTTTGCCAAGTAATTTTCTGTGGATCAACTAATCAAATTATTACTGCTGTGATTAAGTTATTAACAATAGCCTACATATTGTGATGTGACTAGCATTAAATCTTTACTCTTAAGGCATCATTGAGAATTATTTGGATGTATACTTCGGCACATGTGTTAAATTATGCACTGTAATAAAAACAAAAAATCCCAAACTATATAGCATAATAGTACTGTGGCACTTAGATTTGTGTAATGGTATAAAGCCAACTTAAAGAAAATTAGTTAATGGAACAAATTGGAATTATATCAACAATACTTAAAATACTGCACAAATTTAAGTGCACTCAAACCAACTGAGTTATTACTTCAACAATTAATTTTTGAGTTAGGTTAAATTCATGGGAATGAGTGACTCCAATTTCTTTGGAGATTTGAGTTATGTAAACTTACTTCTTTTAGTAAGATACGCTGTTTGGTTTTACAGTGTAGCATGCTACATCCAGCTCACTTTATAAAGCAGTGATATACACTGTGTGATCAACTTTAATCGAAATGAATGTGGCATCATCTTGGCACTCTCACAATACATCAATGATGGGCTGTTGTGACACGACTGCATGGCATCTTCAGCATTTCTTGTTAGGACCTTAGAGTAGACCATCAAAGGTTATAGATTTATATGCAGCATGGATACTTTTTTTAAAAATATAGATAGTTGTGTTTTTGTTCACCTTCTTCAACGTAATTGCTTTTTGCTGGCAACTTTCACCAATAGTACAGATGCATTTCGGTCAGCTATGTTTTGGTTGTAAATATTAAATAAAATTACTTTAGAATTAATGAATTAAATCAATTAATTTACGCAATATACATTATTCTTAAAATAAGACTTCAGACATATAACCACAAATGTTCACCCTCATTCAGTGACTGCTCATAAGAAAAGCCTACTATCATTTTATCCTCATGTTCTTGTTCCCTGTATTAGATATTATATCAAAGAGCAATGCTGACCAAATACATCTGAGCTGAGAAGGCTGCATCCACGCAGGCATTCGGGGGCTTCGTTACAACCTGTGTGTAAGGGAATACCCATGCAGTAAATTATCTTTTTACACAAACATGCCATGTTTTCATTACTGTATGCTAATATGCCCTAATGGATTTGTTAATCTGGGTTAAAATATTTTGATATTGACTTACAGTTTATATAGAAACATACAAAAAAAACAACTGCTGAATGTAATTTGACCCATCAGCATTAAAATTACAATATTCTTTATATTTTATAATAAAACAGACACTCGTCTCTTCACATGATTCTAATTGCTTTAATGCCTTACAGACTGATAGCCCAGGGCTAATTTAGCTCCTTGTCACAATACTGAGAGCACAGTTATCCAAGGGTTAACAGTTTAATAATGCAACTGTGCCTGGGTTAAGTGTAGTGTGAAAAGAGGTAATAATCATTTTAGAGTTGACTAAGATTAAAGTTTGGCTTACAGCCAGTCTTACCCTGTGTTGGTTGTTAAAGGAGCTAATTAAACCCACATGAAAGCCTCTCCTCGGGAGCCAGAAAGATTAAACACCCTCAGGTGTATTCTCTCTCCAGCTACCGCACAACAAAAATGGAACAACGATTAGACGGCATGCACAGTTTGCAGTATGTAAAAAGTGATTCTGTGTTTTCAGTTGTGGCATCAATTTTAATCAAAATCTCAGTGATGGAAATAATGTTGTGATATTTAATAATAATTATACTACTGGAGATTTATTAAAAGCCTCAGTTTCTGTTTGCATGTAGCTCACCTGTTCAATATGGTTCAGGTTTAGTGTAGAGATTAAGTCATTGTTTGTCTGAGCATTTCCAATTTATAATTGCTTATTAGTTCATCAAATATAGTGAGACAGCAAATGTTGTACTCACTGTTAATCCCTCCTGTTTTACATAATCACACTGGGCACTGTGTGTGCTTCTTTCTTCAGTGTGTGTGTGTGTGTGTTCATGTCCACAGCGTGTTTATTATTCCTAAAATGCCTCTCTTTAAGATAAACAAACACATAAATGATTCTCATAAAACACACCAGGTCTCCTCTGCATCCTCCTGTAAGTGTGCACATGTATCTTTTAGTCTGTTTGTGTGAGGGTTTAGTCTATTAGAGAGTCAGTGTAAAGTAAAGCAAATGCACAGCTGTTTCTTCAGGTTCCTGCTCTTTGACCTAAGTATTAACACACACACACACACACACACACACACACACATTTGCACACCCTCCGGCAGCTTCGTCTTCGCCCGGCTGGAATTTGTAAGCCCTGAGTTCCAGCCAAGCTCCTGTTGCTGAGGGGAAACCAGCTGCACACTCATCCAGTCCTCCTGCCAGTTCTTCTGCTAATGGAACAGCCCACTGCGCCCCTGTCCACCCCCGCCGAACGCAAACAGTTGGTACATCCCATTGGTGCTTCTCTAGCTGGTTTGTTACTGACTCAGTAGTATCACAGCAGCCTGAATACGCACTCACCCTCTCTCTCTCTCTCTCTCTCTCTCACACACACACACAAACACACAGCAAGATCGAGGACGTGAGAAAGAGTAAGTTTGCAGGAGAGAAGCAAAGAAACCTTCGACTAGGCTCTGTTCTCTGGTTCTCCCGGGTGTTTGGCATCCCTGATATGACCCTGTTTAGCCCAAGATGTGAGTATCCCGGGGTTTATCCCTTTGTGTCTTTGTGTGTGTGTTCATGCATGTGTTGGTGGGTGTTTGCACACAGCCCTGTGTTTCCGAAAGACAGTATTTTCCACTGTGCCTCTCTTTTTTTTTGCTCCCCCCTCCCATCCTCTGCCTTTCCCTCTACAAACATTTCTGTTGATACACTCAGCCGGTATTTACCCGTCTGTACACTTCATCCTGAATCCCAGGTTCCCTCTCACTTTTGCCTCATGGCTGTTTTTCTTTTTCTTTCCTGTCTTTCTCCGTACCTGCACGTTGATCCGGTCAGATAGTGGTTTGGAAAAAAGGGTGGGATGTTTCAAGGTTTATGATGTAAACATTGTGATGCAATAGGAGCTGGGTGTTTTTTTTTTGTGTGTGTGTGTTTTGTTTTAGTTGCATCAAAGCTCAACCTGCCTCACATTGGCAAGGTCAGAACTTGCTCTCTGGGCATAAAGGCTTGTGAGGCGGAAAGGTTTGAGGCTAGATTATGTTGTTGTAGTCCTGCTCTCTGGTGAACTAAAGCACACATTTTTATTTTATTTATCTTCAGCTGTAGAATGAGCAGTGCATCTCTTTTGTGAACAATTCCTAATCAGGGCACTTTTACAGACACACAGGCAGAGCAGCTACACCTCCTCACAACTTCCACACTAGTTCAGAAACAGCACTCACACAGCTGCAGTACATGTCTGCTGGGAAAGTAAAGGCTTCACAAGAGTTCAATACAGACTGAAAGGCTCTAACGTTACAGTGAAACTACAGTCTCAGGCTGTCTCAGTCCCATGACCCATGTATAGTCGTGGTACTACAGTATCTCCTTCACTGTAGTACGAGGGCTTTCATTCAGCTCCTTTGTGGTGTATAAATCCAGTCTTTCATTTTGGCACACACCATCATCCCTCTCAACATGCCATCTACTCATATTAAACTTTGCTGTCTTTTCTGTCTGCTTCGCTTTCTTCATCTGCTATAGTGCTATGATCCATGTTTAATGTTGTGATGCCTGTGATTACGCTGCATTTAGCCCCGAGAGTGGAAACTAAAGCTCTGTGATTGCTGCTTGCCTGGCTCTATGTCTGACCTGAGGTCAGTTGCAGTGCAGGAAATGGAGAAGAGGCAGCGTGACAGAGTGCAGAGCCTGTCAGCAAGAGGCACGCATGCTGTGCTTTTAGATCCACATTTGACAAACTACCCTCTCTTCATATGTAGGGTGCCAGACTGTGGCCTGATTAATAAACTTTGTGGCAAGTGAGGGCTAAAAATCTGTGTGCGTATTAAAGTGAAAACAAGCAGAAAAGGGCCTCTTGATCTAGGAAATCTTTTAAACATCAGCAAAATACACAACAGGATACGAAGAGAAAGTGTGACAACAAAGCGTGCAGGTGATCTAATTAATTGGAAGTTTAAAGCAAAATACGACTGACAAAACACGTTTGAAGAGTGGAACAAACTCAGGTGGAGAAATGTGTCAAGCGCATGAAGTCATTCTGCCCTCATGTGTCTCTCTGCTGCTTTATAGCAAATAGCGTTTTATCTTGACAATTTTGTTCTGAGCTAAGATAAGAAAAGCTCGTCGCTTTTAGCAATGTCATTTTCAATTAGGCTGCAAGAGTGGCAATAATAAAGGGAAATGTACAATACAGGGAAAAAAAGTATATTTTTCACCATGGTATGAATTAGTTTCTTGAATCTACCAGAGCCAGTTAAAGTGAAATCAATTAAGTGGTCCTGGTTTTCTAGTCACAGTGATTGTCTCTTTCGGTGGAATATTTGAGAAAAGAAAAATGTGTGAGCAAGATTACAAAACACTGTTTTCTTAGATTGACACACCACTAAAAATATTTGTGTCAGTCATCATCTCGAGCATTTGTGTTGTGTTCTAAACTAAACAATAGTTGTTTGATTTAGACATTAATTGAAAAATATCTAAAATATGTAAGGATGTGGTTCAGCCCATTGCAGGAAAAATCACAGACACGGAAGAAAGAAAAGGATGATAGAAGCCGGAAAATTCAGTGATGTTTTTTTATCTGATCATGTTGTTATCCCTTCTCCCACACATCAGAGACTTCAAAGTGCACAGATTAATAGAACATACAGTAGGAAATTATATTTTCTACACACTATTATGTTAGCTATTTTCAAGGCCAATTATGTTGGTGTTGTTCCAAACAGCAAGAATTAAATGGGGGGGTGTTGTGCAGATGATGAGACTACTTGTCAAACAGGTCTGTGAATATGAAACGCATGTTGTGCATGAATCTTTCTGCAGAGTCCCTGACTGTCTAAATGTTTGATTCTTGAGGTTTACGGTTGCATACATGAATTTTGAATGGAGTAGGGTCTAGACGGTCTAAGTTTCGTGAATAACCTTTTGTTATGAGTTGGCGCTATACAAATAAAATTTTAATTGAATCACCTGAAGCTTAGTTAGAAGAAGTAATGTTAAACAGAAGTTGTCTTTATACGTCTTTATACGTCTATATACATGAGGTGAAAGCACAGGTTTAGCTCTCCTGGAGCTGGTGATGAATTCAAGGACACTTAAGGAGGGTGGAGGCTGACTGACTGGGGTCTTCAAAGGCCATCCAGCCATTTGAAGTGCTCACCCCTCTCCTGCCTCCTGTGGAGATTCAGAATAATTTAGAACAAGAAGAGCTTTTCCCGCGTTGTTGGTGTGTTATTTTGTTTCCAGGTCGTGTGATTAAGCCGGCTCTCTCTTTGGCTTAGTATAAAGTGAAAGTCTGGCACTCAGCCTGACATCCGTTGATACAAAGCACAGTGACAGACTGTAGACCACTGCAGAGGCTGAGGCTTTATAACTCATTACGGCTGATTGTGTGTGACCTTGATGTGTCCTCTGGTGCCCTTTGCTCCTTTTTTTACAAACATGCTGTATACTGTTTGTTTTGTTTTTTTAGCCGGTCTGTAATGAGAATCAAGACGCAGGATACAGTGTTATTAGGACATGCCACCCATGATAATGATACTATCACCATACAGGCTATTTTGTGTTATCCAATATAATGTACAATTACTGTATTTGATGCACCCAAATGTCTATGTTATGTAATGAAGAGGAAATCCAACCACTGGAATTACTTTATAATCTTTCAGAAATCAGGAATCAGTTCTCCATGTGCTACTCCAAATACTATACTAGTGCTGTCATTTTTTATAGTTTCATAGTCAACTGAGATGAAACAATGTGCAAAGGTTAAAAAGCCTGAGCCACTTCAATAGTCATAATATAGCTGTACTATCATACGTTTTTAATGATTTATTTATGTTTTTTTAATTTTTATGATTCATTAAAATTGTTGCAGTCAGTCAAAATTCTAATACGAAAAGATAAAAATCATATTTAATTATTTCATTTTTTTTAAAAGGCACCAATTAGAAACAAAAGATTTGTTTTTGGTTTATAAGGCACTATAATGCAGTTGTAAGCAGATGTGTTTATGAATGTATTTGTCAGCAATTATCACTCCCCCTGTGGGCACCCATAAGTGAAAGCTGCTGTAAAACAGATAATGGATGACAATATAGTGAAGCACAGGTATAGTAATGTAAAATATTACTTCTAGAGAAGTCTTTTCGACAAATATTGCACATTTAAAAGTGTCCTTAAACTTGCATTCAACTGTATTATAGTATGTTATAAATAATGTATCAATTGTTTATATAGAGCTTCTAAATAGTAAATAGAATGGGTTAAAGTAAAGTGCATACCAATATGGATAGCAGTAAGAGAATAATGTATAATTGCATTACAACAACAACAGCCATTATCATCACACTCATCACTGCCACAGCTCACGATTACTGAGCATAATGTGGGTTATCAGTGAAGACATGTGCCATAAGTGGTATTTATATAGGCCTCTGCATTTAGCCAAGTAACAGGGAGAACCAAGAGCAAAAAAACAAAGGGAGGAAAAAGACTGATTATTATTGTTAATATTGATACGCAAAAATTTAAAAAAGCAAAGTTTTTTTTTTTGTAAAGTTTAACAAATAAAATTATCACAAATAGCAATTTACAGCTTAAAAGCTGCAATCTTACATTTAACAAAATATATGTGTGTGTGTGTGTGTGTGTGTGCACGCGCACTGCAGAGGCTAATTGTACCGTATAGGATTTTGTTTACCAAATAGCAGTCTGATTACCACCTGAGGTTTTGCTCCTGTCGTGCGAGACAACTGTGCTCAGCAGCAACCTCTACTCTCTTCCTGTGTAATGGCTCCTTCATGCAGTCAATCATACAGCTGCCATGTTGCACATCATAAAACTCAATTTTCTTTCCCTCTGCCATACAATGACTTCAGCTGCAGTCTGCATAGATGAGGAATTGTCCAGTATGGTTTTACAAATTTGTTTCTAATACACATAATCCATTCTCATGAGGTGTCAATTTTTTGTCATTGTAGTGGAGGAAGACGTAGTTAATGTTACATGAAAATACTACAGTGGCGTATAAAAAGAATTGCCTATCATGTAGATCTCAGGGCAATCCTATATCTTTTGAAATTCTAATATTATTCCCCCCGATATTGCCACTTTAATGCGTTTTGAGGTATTTAAAACAATCCTTGTATTTATTTTTGTCTATATTCCTGAATGCATGCATGGCTCAGGCAATGCAATAGTTAATGTTTCAGCAGCAGGGCCCAGTTCCTCTCCAGCAGAGACACTGTTGGCTGCAGAAAAGCCATCCAGCAGGTCACTGTATGACAATAAACTGTCAGAAAATTATCTCTGCTGTGGGAGGTAAAGGCACATACACGTGTCTAAATTTCTTTTCACACATTCAAACCCATACTAAATTAATTGTAGCTTCCAGCCATTTGACAGTCACGCTGTGTGAGTGTATGTGCAGCTGGCCCAGTCACACTCCATTCACCACCCATCTGTCCATGTCAGACTGGCCTCCTCTCCTCTCCTCCTCTTTTTACTCCTTCACTTTTTCACTCTCTTTTACACTCACCTTTGGTAAATCACTGCTGAGCCTCGACCAACACGAGCAGTGAGCTGTTGGCATTTTCTGTAATCAAGATGGCTCGTGGTTAATTAGCCCATTAGAACATGGAGGTGTGTGTAAGAGGTGTTTGCAGGACAGACAGACAGACAGACAGAGATGGGGTTTTCGCTTTTGAGATGTTTCTGATGTACGCTTACAGACGGGAGGCAAAAATGGAGGTGAACAGCTGGCCTGGAGTGACAGAAGCAATCAACAGAGAGTGATAGATGCATGTGAACCACTGTCAGCCTTACCTGGCCCTTTAGTCATTATCATGTTAAATGATGACGACGACAACAGATGAAGTTAAATTTAGCTAAAATAAAGAGTAAACTTGGGTGTAGGATAAACATGACCAGACACAGTACAGGGTTAGCAGGTTAGTTCATCAGAACTCTGAACACTCTTACATGTGCTTTGTACCCCTGCCGTGTTGTGACGCTCTTTTTACGGTATCAGTACAAAATTAATTGGTTGCTTTCCGTGCAGACATGAGCATGAGTGGAGAGTTGAAGTCCAGCCGCTCCAGGGCAGCGAGTAAGAGGGCCAGCAACACCACTTACGGGTGAGTACGAATATCCCCCACCCCCCAAACACACACACACACACACACACACACACACACACACACACACACACACCACTCCCACCCCCACACACTGAGAGATAATCATGCACTCTATTATTTGCTGCAGCCCTTTATCTGTAGCTCAATAGTTGCACCTCAGTGTTGCAATCAATGCAGCATTATTCGTTATTAGTTTCAAACCAGCTGTGTATGTAAGCTGCTATTGATTTTGGCCAGAGGTGCTATCTCCATCAATCAATGTTTTGATCTGTTGATGTAGTGCACACATATGATTTGAGCTTATTACTGTTCATTGCTGGCTGTTCAATACAGTACAGAGGTACACTAACATTAACTGTGTGCTTAGATAGCTGGTGAAGGGAACGGAGGGCAGTGGAGAGATGACAGTGTGTGTGGGCTTGTTTAAATTCATTTATGCCTTCATTACTCTTACCTCCAACTCTCTCCTTGAACTGCATCTCTAACTCTAGCTGCAGCTATGTAGGCTTGAGCTCCTCTAATGAGCATAAACCACAGAGAGTACCCTGGTGTGTGAAGTTTGAGTAGTTTTGCATATCTTCGTTCTTACCACAGCGACTGTGACAGTGCATTTCAGTGTCCTTCTGAAGTGCATACACCAATAGATGGGGAAACAAAAAGCAAGACACTTAATCAGAAAAGAGAAAGGAGAAACCATTATTGCAAAGATGTCAATATTTATAATTTTATACGTTTCTAGGATGTAAAAACAATAAATAAGGAAATTGTTGTGAATAGTTGCACCAGTACAAGCACGGCAAGGCTTTCTGCTGACAATGTAGATAGTGAGAGGAGAGAGTCACATTAAAGCAACTGGATATACTGAAATACTTTGCAGGACATTCACCCCTAGGACAAAATGCAAAATTGGTACAGACAAGAACAGGAAATGAGTATTAACAGATGTAATAATACTAATGCAGATTGTGTTTGTCCTGAGTCTAATCAGCAAATCTCATTATTATTCTCTCTTCTGCATAACTGGGACTCCACATATGTTTCCAGCTCCACAATAAATACTGATATTAGTCTATTCCTGACAGCTCAATTTCCTGGCCCTCTGCTGGTTTCATACAATAGTAGAGGTATAAATATTGCAGTATGGATTATGTCCCCAGCATGTCTTTCAAAACAGTTAATCCGGCTCTCTGCCCTCCTCCACTCCCTCTGACCATCTCTGCTTCAACCTTAAACCTCCGCACGTTATTTGCCCATTGCGTCATGTAGATATTCAACAGCGTGTGGCCATGCATTAATGAGGTTAGTCATACAACACACACACACACACACGCTCGCACACAAAATTAGTAACCTCAAACGGAAAACACCTGAGCTATCCTCATGATACAGCCCAGGCCTGATTTTTCACAGAGTTGACATGGACTCAAAGCAGACCAAGTTGGCTTTCTGTGGCCGTTTATGGACACATCCAGTCGAATAAACCAACCCGAGAACCTGTGTTGACACTCAAAAAAGAACAAAACTTGCGTACAGCCATGATTTATTTCTTGTCATTTTCCCTGCACAGCACTTTATAGATTTTGAGTTCTTGAGAATGAATTATAAAACAAGCCAATCTTGATCATTTCCCAGAAACAGAAACTACAATACAGCTAAAGTTACAAATGTAAATCATGGCGAGACAGCCACCAAAAATCTCTCTGTCCAGACTCCAATAATCCTGCTCTGTGCTGCTGGCAGCGTGTGCCCCGTCCCCCCCCTCCTCCTCCCACTGTTCTCACAGAGCTGGCCAACAAACAGTACTGCCTGTGGCCTAGATTATTTTGTGAGCAAACTTTCCAACATGTCTAAGAAGTTAAAGCAATGTAATCTGCTCATGCAACACCGTGCTGGTTGCCAGCATTTCTGAACTGTTATTATTGCTAGGAAGTTGGATTATCAAGCTCAAAAAATAAATGTTTGCCTTCTTTCTACAGTTAAACCCAATAAAAGGTTTTATTTGACGTGTTTTAATATAGTCGAAATGTAATAGCTGGCGTGCTTCTTTTCCTCTTCTTACTCTTCTCCCACTGAAACTCTCACATATGTCTCCCCCAAGGCCATTTGCTTCAGAGCGACCCTGGCAACATAAAGGTTTTATCATCAGTTATCGTCCATGCTTTCTGACTGTCACAGATCCCCGCTAGCTTGGCGAGCCCCAGCTGTGGGTGGAGGGATGGGGTAGAGAGAGTGGCAAGCGTTTCACAACCCAGATGCTGCTGTTGCTGCAGCCATGGCCTCTGTGTGCTCCAGTGCACTACTACAAAAGCTCAATGTACTGTGGGGCCTATATAAAGAGCTCAGGTGCCAGGCGAAGGGCCCCAGAGGTGGGTGTGTGTGTGTGTGTGTGTGTGTGTGTGTGTGTGTGTGTGTGTGTGTGTGTGTGTGTGTGTGTGTGTGTGTGTGTGTGTGTGTGTGTGTGTGTGTGTGTGTGTGTGTGTGTGTGTGTGTGTGTGTGTGTGTGTGTGTGTGTGTGTGTGTGTGTGTGTGTGTGTGTGCAATTATCTAATGACTTAAATAGCTGTATGGATTAACATATCCTCTAGCACTGATGTTTGTGTCTGCGTGGTTGTAGCCTCCACAGTATACATGTCCTGCCTGTGTTCAGGTCATTACAGTGCTCATTTTATTATCTGCTCCATTTTGCATCTCAGTGAAGAGGGCAGAGTGTACTGAGCATCTGGTCTGTGGTATTTTTGTCTGCTTTCTCCATGCGCTTCGTTCTTTTAATATTCTCTCATTGGTTTTAATTATCAGAAGGGCTGGTCATAGAGGAGTTTGAGTTAGGATGGAAACGATGCAGCAGACCCATCTGTTATATAGGCTCAAAGAGGCTAACAGGGGCAGGAGAGGTGGAGGCATCAGGTTATGAACTTTGCAGTCACCAGTTGATCAGCAGGTGATGATGTACAACTGTAACTTAAAAGCTAATCTGATGGCAGATATTATTTAGATGAATGAGAGGGTGACAGGAAATGGTTCACATAAGTCGGCTAGGGCTAGTTAAAAGATTATTCTTGTTTATTACAACTTGTGTCTTTTTTTTTGACCATTTTTGTTGGTTATGGTAACACTACACGCTGTGTTTATAGCTGAGACCTGTAATTTTTTAACATTACTAAAAAGAATTCTGATAATGTAAGGTAAGAAGATTAGTCAGACAATCATATAGGTAAGGCTACTCAATCGAAATTTGATCATGATTACGATTTTGGGGGAAAACGATTTTCTTTTGATTTTCTGTTGTGCAACGTTGTATAGAAAAAAGCTGTGTCCCAATTCAGGGGCTGCATCCCTCAAGCCACAGTCTGCGTATTTCGCACATGCGTATTCCCTTCCCTCCCCCACAGCATCCACTGCACATGAGTCAGTCACATTGTTTTCGTTGGAACAGGTAACGCGTAACAGTAACAGGTAATTTCAAATGTTGTGGCAGTGCACTAAAATTTGAGAGCACAAATTGTTTTTCTATGGCTTATCTTTTGTGTGTTATTTTATTTAATTTAACTTTTTGTAGAGATCGCAAGAGTGCACTATGACTGTCAATGTAAAAAGGAGACTTACAAATGTTTATGGGGAAAGGGAAGTGTAACTGAGGACTTCCTTGCAAAGTGTTTTTGACAAATGTCCAATAAATGCAGCATGTTTCTGAAGTTTAAAAAAATAGTCGTTTGACCGTGTCAGCAGTCAGCGTCATAGACATCCATGACACTGATAGTGTAATGTTACCATAACTGAAATAATGACAAAAAACTAATAAAAATTAAGACATAGGTTGTAATACACTAGAATTATCCTTCAGGGTTTTTATATGGCTGTTTTGAGAATAAAGCTGTTTTTTACTGAGAGAGTATTTTTAGTCACATCTTTCTTCATCTCACTTGTTCCTGTGCAACACTTTGCACATATTTTGTCAGATTGTATATGTGTATCCAGCCTGAGGCTTGGCTGGCTGACATCTCTAAAACCACCACAAGCAGTGAAAAAGCAAAGGGCAAATGGAAGCAATCTGCAGTCAAGAAAGCAGTGTTAAAGTTCACCCATTTTTATGAGCAACCTATTTCTGTGACATCACTCTGATTGTCTCAACACAGCTGACTGCCAGCTGTTATGACACCCACCCACAGCTAAATCTGTACACACAACATGCTGATCATCTCTTACAAAATGACAGCTCTAAACATTATTTAAAGAGAGGGGGTTGCATAATGCACAGGAGTCACTGTCACTGATAATAACTCATATCTGTTTATTGTTAATGGGAAGAAAAAGCTTGTTGTTGAAAATCAACTAACAGAGGAAAACAAGGCAAAATACAGATAGAAAAATCCCCTATTGCACCATGACTTTGGTTTGTGTTGTTCATTTGTTGTACATTTAAAAGCACTTCTCCAGATCACAGTGATGAATGTCTCACCATTTTGTTTCTCCTCACAAATAGCGAGACCCTTTTGCTTATGTCTGCACCTTGGTAAAATGAAGTTAAATGAAGTGTGGAGAGAGTTCTAGACCTAAGTGTCGGAGTTTTCATATAGACTAGTGGTGTTGTTGATGTTGTTGCATTGTCAGACACCGCGTGAGGTCTTCTGAGCAACGGTGGAACAAACTTCAAAGCTGTTTATGGTCAGTGATGTTTAAGATCATAGCTCACTCACAGCTCAGTGCAGCAAGATTTTGTGTGTGGTATCAAAAAAATATTATTTATTGTGAATGAAAGCTTGAGAAACTGAGCAGTGATATCCAACCGTGGTCCAGGACTGTGGTCCATCAAAATCAACTCCAGTGAAAATGTAGAAATCTTCAAACATGATGTCTCTCAGTGCCACATATACCTTCAGCTTTGCAGATGTTGTGGCTGTTTGCAGGCGGCCACAGACATGCAAGTTCCTGTTCAAATCAATGCAATCTGGACTGTTGTCGGCCAAAAAAGTTTTGGGCTCGCCTGGATCGACTTTCCT